GATGTCGTTCCCCCTTCCGGTGTTAACATCGTTGGCGGAAAATTGATCTTCCGAGTCAAACAACTCCCAGGCGAAGCTCCACTGTTCAAGGCACGATACGTGGCAAAGGGTTTCACCCAGAAGGAGTATCTCGACTTCTTCGAAACATTCTCGCCCACGGCCAAGCTTCTTGATATAGCCGCTCGCGGCAACTTCGGGATCAAGTCCATGGACGCCTCCTCCGCTTTTCTCCAAGGCCAGCTCAAGGATGATGTTCACATGGAACGCCCATCAGGGTTTCCTGGCACTTATCCTGCCAACACAGTATGGAAGCTGAAGCGCCCAGTGTATGGCCTCAAGCAGGCTCCTCGTGAGTGGCACAACAAGGTGAAGGAAGTCCTCCTCGCAAATCCTACTTTTGTATTTGTACTTTTATATCCTAGTTTAGGTTAGGAATGTTCTAGTGGGTTGGGGTGTACTCACAAAATCCCAACCTCACCCAATTGTGATCCTCCCAATCTCCAATTACCCAATTGGAGATTCCAGGGATCCCAATGGGGATTCCCTCCGATTCCCCCTTCATCCATTCTCCCTTACCTTGCCATGAACTTCTAGAGCCTTGGGCTCCTTACCTAATCAATTATTTCAACTCTATTTCTCACAGCGACTACACTCGACGGGTGCGACGTGTTGCTGGGACGGGATTGCCTGCAACAGTACAACACGAAGATCGACTGGACGACGGGCGGCTGAAACATAAAACTCGATGGGATCCCCCACGAGCTACTGAAATGGACGGGACCTCACATGCGAAGCACCCAAGTCCATGCGATAACTGTCAAGCGCGCGACAAAAGTGGGAGCTGCAGCGTACACCGTTGATCTTCGCGAGGTGACGTCAATGACAACAGTCGAAGATCGCGAAGCGGTGCGAAGCCGTTCCTCCGGATTTAGCGGACCTGATTCGAAAATACCTCGAGATTTTCCCGGACGACCTGCCAGCTGGACTTCCGCTGAGCCGACCAAAAGACCATCGCATCGAGCTGGAACCAGGTGCCCAACCAACGGTACAGCGACAATTTCGGCTCAGCCAACCAGAACTGGAAGAATTGCAGCAGCAGCTGGATTACCTTCTGATGAAGGGATTTATCCGGCCCCATAAACCCCCCGATACTGTTCACACCGAAAAAGGATGGAGGATTCTGCATGTGCATCGACTACCGCGCGCTCAACAGGATCACAATCAAGTCGCGTTACCCGATCCCGCGAGCCGACGACTACTCGACCAACTTCGTGGAGCCAAGTTCTTCTCGAAAATTGACTTGCGAGGAGGTTACCATCAAATTCGCGTCGCCGCCGAAGATTGTCTCAAAATCGCCTTTCGCATCCGCTACGGCAGCTACGAATACTTGGTGATGCCTTTTGGCCTCACGAACGCGCCCTTGACCTTCTAGGTGACCATGAACGGCATTTTCAGGGAACTCTTGGATAATTGCGTAATTATCTACCTCTACGACATACTAATCTACACAGGGAGCAGCACTTACCGGATCTTGATTCAGTCTTCATGCTGTTGCACTAGAATCGCCTCATCACGAAAGGGTCTAAGTGCGACTTTCTTAAGCAGGAGTTGGAGTTTTTGGGCCACGTCGTTTCTACCGAAGGAGTGAAAATCGACCCCAAGAAAATCAAGACCATACAGGAGTGGAAGCCGCCAACCAACCTAAAGAAGCTGCAGAGTTTTTTGGGTTTCGTCAACTACGTCCGCCGATTTATACCTAATATGGCCGGGTTATCTGCCCCGCTAACTGACCGACTCAAGGATCACGATTGTTTTTTGTGGGGAGAGAAGCAGAAACCTGCATTCGACCAACTGAAGATCGCCCTCACGTCGCCACCCGTTCTTCGCATCTCCAATCCTGACCGTCCATACAAAGTCATCACCGACGCCAGCGACATCGCCATCGGTGCAGTTCTCCTACAAGATTTTGGCGACGGATTACAGCCGGTCGCCTACGAATCACGGAAGCTACAGGGCGCGGAGAAAAACTATACGGTACACGACAAGGAAATGCTGGTGATCGTCCACGCGTTCAAGACCTGGCGATGCTACCTGACAGGCGCTGACGTCACGGTTCGGACCGACCACAAATCCTTACAGTACCTGCGAGCCCAACCGAATTTCAACCCGCGACAGATCCGGTGGCTCGATTTCCTCGAGTCGAATTTCCACTACTCCATCACCTACAAACGGGGCGCCAACAATATTGCCGATGCCCTGACTCGACCCACTGCCCATACCGCCGCCATACTAGTCGCCCACACCAGCCCACTACTTACCGGACTATTTACCCACGGCTACAAAATCAACCCTTTCTTCCGCTCTGCTATCCATCAACAGCATACCACCGCCACCAGACACTATTTTAATCAGCGCGATACTTCTCGCATCTGGGTGCGCACGGCTACGATTTACTTCGTACCCTTTTAATACAGGAATCCCACGACAACCCTACCTCCAGGCATTTCGGAGTTGACAAAACTATGAAGACGTTGCAGCGCAACTATTATTGGCCAAACATGGCCGACGACGTGCGCAAGTACGTGTCCTCCTGCACCGCCTGCCAGATCATGAAATCCTCCCATCAGCGAGCAGCCGGACTACTACAGCCGTTGGATCCGCCCGAGCGACCCTGGCAACACATCACGATGGACTACGTGATAGGACTGCTAGCCGGTCCCAACGGAAACGACGCCATCCTCGTGGTCGTTGACCGACTCACGAAAATGGCGCACTTCATCGCCTGCCAACAGACAATTACAGCTGAGCAAACTACCCAATTGTTCATCGCCATTGTCATTCGACTACACGGACTGCCTACCGCAATTATTTCAGACCAAGACCCGAAATTCACATCGAATTTCTGGCGCCACCTATGGGACCAGTTCGGCACCGAACTACAGTTTTCCTCCGCCTACCATTCACAGACCGACGGGCAGACCAAACGAGTCAAGCAAACTATGGAGCAACTCATTCGGACTACCTGTGCTGACCCACAGACATGGGAGAAATTCCTTCCGCTGCTGGAATTCCCGTATAATATCGCGCCCTCCGCCACAACCCATCAGTCCCCATTTTTCGTCAACTAGTGGTACCCTCTACCCTGAACATCGAGACACCCGTGCTCCGGACCCAGAAATTTGCTGAAGACATTCTCGCCGCCAGAGAAAAAGCAGCTGAGGCAATCAGGAAAGCCAACCTGGTCGCAAGCCGTCAAGCCGATCGACATCGACGTGACGTCATGTACAAAGTGGGAGATCTCGTCCTACTCAACACTCGCAATTTGCGGCTGCCGATCCCGAGCAAGCTCCGATCCGGATTCTGTGGGCCTTTTCAAGTGACCAGTATGGTGACACCTGTCACAGCTCACTTCTGACTCCCGGCTGACTGGCGTCACCACCCGGCTTTCCACGTCAGCCTCTTACGGCCCTTACTCTCCAGTTCGTCGGAATTGGCACGCCAACGCGGTGTACCGCAGCTGATGCCCATGCAGGAACCGACGACTGAGCCCTTGAAAATTCTCGGCCATCGAGTCACGACGCAGCTGAACCGTCGGATGCTTGATTTTCTCGTCCGTTGGCACGATCGCACGTCAGAAGATGACAGCTGGGTGCCACTCGCTAAGCCAGAATCACACCCGATTCTAACAGCGTATTATCAGCGTCGGAATGTTTCCGATGCCCGCGGTCTCGTTTAGGAGGGGGGGGTAGTGTAAGGAATTTCCATTCCTTACTGAGTCGTACGCTAGCGCGTGTGTACACCCGAACTCCTCGACTCGTCACGTTCGGCTTCATTTATCGGCCCAACCCTTTCTCGAGTCGCGTCCGGCACTGTCGCCACATTGCCGAACCTACCCACATTCCGAGGTTATCACCCTAGCACGCCAACCCCTATATAACCTTGTGCCTTCATTACAATAGCGACCTTGTATTCTAATGTTATAGTACATTGGCACTTCCTATATCATAACACAAAACACATCCATCCAGTAACATTCTGCGATATATCTAAGAGCGTGTTCCCAAGCAACCTCTTCCCAGACTCGCGTGCTTCAGTGTCGCAAGTTTTGACGCGAAATGTTTCAATGCGATTCCGCGAAGTGCAAAGTGAGATTTGGCTTCCCGAGATTCAGGGGCGTGTTTGAAAACCTCTTTTCAGACGAGCAGATTTTCAGCGCGAATCTGCACATTAAATTTTTTACGCCCGCTGGTTGTATGTGGTTGAGCGCGATGGAACGCAAATATGAAACGGAAGTATTCCGAAAAGTGGTCCTGGGAACACGCTCTCAAGGTCGCGCGTGAGTCTGGGAATAGGTTGCCTGGGAAGAGGCTTGTAGGAACACGCTCTAAATGTTTTTTTTTGTTTTTTGTTTTGTTTTGTTTTTTTTCGTTCAAGGTCATAATCAATATAATACATTTTCCCATTTTGTTGTTATGGTATGGTTTATTTTAAAGTACGTTTAAGGCATAAATTTAGAGTGTGGTTTGGTTCATGCCTCATTGTGCAGATTTAAATACTTAACATTCGCATTGCGATTAAAAAGAGTTTTGCTATTTATTCAGACTGCTACCGCTGCGTTGACTATAAAGAGAACAGCTGTTCCGGAATTGATGCCAGGTGGATGGAATCTCGGGTAATGGGGTTGCATCGGACGACACGTGTCAGCGGGCTCATTACCTGGTGTTCATGGCCCCGAGTTTGGTTTGGGGAAGGTTTCGTGAGAGCCGGAGGCACTCCCCCCACTCTGGCGTGGTGACAGACGGGAGCCTCCAGCGCGACGTGAGCCACAAAGTTGGCAGGGCAGCCCAGCCGCCAATGGGAGGGGCCCCTTTCCAGGTCATGCACGCACCCCACCCCGCCCCGCCCCTCCCCCTCCTGCAAGGCCGCTCCTTCGAAACCCCGATTTGATCCCGCTCCTCCCTCCACCCAAACGGCGTTCAGATCGTTGGTGTCCCGACTGAACGCACTTGCAGCCAACTCCACTAATACCAATTCAGCAGCCCCCTCACCTAGTGAGACTCTTGCCCCTCCAAGACGGACATGGCCCTCCGTGCTGGCGTTGCCGCTCGATTGCACATATCTGTGATCAATTCTCCTGCCACGTCAGACTGCAGAACCCCTACCAGTCGCGACGAGCCTCGAGCGCAGCGAGTGCTGGTGCAGCGGGTGAGCGCCTCGCAGGCGGTCACCAGCGGATCGCTCGCCCATCGCCTTCCGCCAGCCCCGTTTCGCTGCCGCGGGCAGTGCGCCACCCGACGAAGCGTGGCGCGCTGTGACTCGTCGACGCAAGTCGACCAGCAACCGGCTGCCGCTGGTCTCGATCCACGCCGCGGCTCCGCGGGGGGGTCGCCAGCCAACGGGCGCGTCGCGCCGGACAACCGTGATTTCGCCAATGCGGCTGCCTCGATGCCCGGCGATGGGAGCAGCGGTAACGGCGTGGCGGTGCTAGCCCGGCCAGAGGCGAGGTGGCAGGAGGAGCAGCCCGACAAGGGCGGTGCGCGCGAGCTGGGTGCGGGGGCGAGTGAGGGCAGGGGGCTGGGCATCGTGGAGTTCCTGCGCGGCAAGCACGTCCTCGTCACCGGCGCCACCGGCTTCCTCGCCAAAGGTAGTACCGCCTCGCGCGCTCGTAAGCACCGCACGCGCGTGCCCACATCGCCCCCGCGCTGCCCCCGCTCCACATTGCCATGCTTATCTCCCACCGAACCTCCACCTCCACCTCCCCATCCTCTTCCCCCCCCTCTTTTCTCCCCCCCCTCCGCTCCTTCCCTCTGTCCCGACGCGGCGTGCGCGCGGCAGCGCTGGTGGAGAAGATCCTGCGCGAGCAGCCGGACGTGGGCCGCCTGTACCTCTTCATCCAGCCGCGCGCCGACCAACCCGCCGAGCAGCGCCTCGCGCAGGTACCCATTCCGCGCCCGCCCCGCCCCGCGCTTGCTGCTCTAGGGCTCCCCCGCTCTCGTATGGCTGGCCTCGAAAGCATGATTGCCAGGTAGATATAGCCTCTCTGACCTGCTGGGAAATTCACACAACTTTCATTCAAAGATTTACAGTCGAGATCAAACGAGAGGAGCAGTCCATTGAGTGTGTCTCCGTGGTCGCCCCACGGCACATTCAACTCCACCACTTCCCCTGCAAACCAACCAGAAGCTCGACCCACTCCTCTCGCTCGCACGAGCCCGGGCCATATTCCTTGCGATTGCATCTTGCAGCCTAACGGCGCTTGCCGCCGCCCTCTTACAGAAGCACACGCTTCTCGCCCGCCTACCAGCTGCCCTCTCTTTCATCTTTGTGCCCCCCGCGGCCTCGCTCACCGCCCTCGCTCAGTCCTTTCCTTGGCCCTCGCTCAGTCCTTTCCTTGGCCCTCGCTCAGTCCTTTCCTTGGCCCTCGCTGCCGCACGTCCTCGTGTCTCCCCCTCGTGCGTGCGCTCTCCCCCGGCCTCGCCATCCTGCGCGCCCCCGCAGCTGGTGGGCAGCCCCATCTTTGCGCACGTGCGCGCGCAGCACGGCACCGCGTACGAGCGCTTCATGGCGGCCAAGCTGCGCGCCGTGGAGGGCGACATCTCGCGCGAGGGGCTTGGGGTGTCGGCGGCAGTGCGCGAGGAGCTGAGCAGCAAGGTGCAGGTGCTCGTCAACTCCGCCGCCACCACCACGTTCGATGAAAGGTACTTCGCGTCCCGGAACTTCTCATTGCCTCTTCACCTTTCGGTATCTCACTTGCCGCACCCTCATCTCTTTTCCTTCCCCTTTCCTTTTCCCTCCCAACTCGCCCTTTTCCCCCCTGCCCATCTCCTCTCCCCCTCGCACTCACCGCCTTGTCTAAGAACCCTCTCTGTCAACCCGTGGCCATGCGCGCACCCCTTGCCCTCCGCCGTGTGGCTGCGCGTGCAGGTACGACGTGGCGCTCAACATCAACACGCAGGGGCCTCGCCGCCTGCTGGACCTCGCCGACTCGTGCCGCAACCTCCAGCTGCTGCTGCACATCTCCACAGGTGCAAAGCTGCTCTCCCCCATCGCTCTCACGCCGCCTCCACTCGTGCTGCTTGTGCTCGTGCTCGCCTGCCATTCACGCGCGCCAAGGAGACAGCACATGCCCATATCCCCATCCGTCTTGCACTGGTCTGAATGGCGGTGTGAGCTGTGTGCTTGCCTGAGCAGCGTTTGTGAACGGCAAGCGGCGTGGGCGCAGCATGGAGAGGGCGTTCGAGTATGGCGCCACCATCGCAGCGGAGCTGCAGCACGCACAGGCCGGTGCCGGGGGGGCGCAGGTGCGCGTGGACGTGGCGACGGAGATCGCCCTGGCGGAGCACGAGAGGGCGGCGGCCCAGGCAACTGCGGAGGCTGCAGGGTTGAGTGGGGAAGACGTGCAGGCGGCGGTGCAGAAGCACATGGTTGAGCTGGGCATGCGCAGGTGTGCGCGCTGTGCGCTTGTCCTGGCCACATGCCCACGCTGTACTGCACCCAAGTTGTCCTTGGCAGCTGACGCGCAGCAGCACCTGTGCCCACCATGGTGTTGTGCTCCCTCCGCTCGTGTGTGCCCTGTGCGTGGCAGGGCGCAGCAGTGCGGGTGGCAGGACACGTACGTGTTCACCAAGGCCATGGGCGAAATGGTGCTCACGCGCGCGCGCACCCACCTGCCGCTCGCCATAGTGCGCCCCTCCATTGTGGAGAGCTGCCTGCGCGAGCCCATGGCAGGGTGGATGGAGGGCATGCGGTGAGTGCCGCTGCCCGGGGCTCTGGGTCAGAATGCGCGCGTAGGGCTCAGAAACAGCCGCCGAGATTGGTAGCAGTACATGCGGAGAGTGCTCTAGCCGTAGGCTGCTTGCCTGGTCCGTGAACATTCATGCTCTTGCTGCACCTGCTCCCTGCTTCACCCATCCCCGCCTTGCTGCCATCCTGTCACCCACAAATCCACTTGGCCGTTTCTTGTGTGCGCAGTATGGCAGATCCCATCTTGCTGGCGTACGGGAAAGGACAGATGGCCGGGTTTTTGGCAAACCCAGATGGTGTTCTCGATATGGTACTATACAGCCAGCGCTAGACTTGCTGCATGTTGTGACACCATGCAGTGCCTGGGCATGGAGCTTTTCCGTTGCGCCACCCAATTCACCACCTCGATTTCTGCACTCACCTTACGTTCCGCCCTAGCAGCATGCAGTTGCCATCGTCAAACATATTGCGCAAGTATCTCTTCTCATGGTCATTCAAAGGTGTCGGTGCGTTGCTCCACTGATGCCGTGTTTTGCCATTGCGCGCCCCCCCTGCAGGTGCCGTGCGACATGGTCATCAACGCCGTGCTCGCCATCGCCACACACACCGCCTCTGTGGGGCCAGGGGCGCCGGTCGCTGTGTACCACGTGGCCACGAGCGTGGCCAACCCCCTGGGCATCCAGGTGGTGGCGGACGCCACGTCGGACCACTTTGCGGTGGCGCCCATGCTGCAGCGCGACGGCTCCGCTGTGGCCGTGCAGCGCATGCAGGTGTTCCGCCACCCACGGCTCTTCATGCTGGACGTGTGGCTCAAGTACCAGCTGCCGCTGCAGGTACGCACACACATACCACCACACCGGGTGTAGCACCTGCACACGAGGTGGACACGCAGATGCGAGTGAGTAGATGATTGTGCATGGCATGCATTGGATAGCTGAAAGAGGAAAGGATACTAGTAGAGAACCAATAGAGCACAGGTGGCGAGAATGCAAGAAAATGCAAGCTTGCAGGCTTTCTTTCTCCCACCGCGTGCCCTGTGTATGTGCAGCTGGCGAAGCTGTCCCCTTGGAGCTCATCCCTCTCAGAGCGCCGCAACAACCTGCTGCTCAAGACAGCGCAGCAGCTCAGCTACCTGGCCAAGCTATACGAGCCCTACACCTTCTATGCCGCCAGGTGCTGCCTCCAACCGCTGCTACCCTCGCTTCCCCTTCCTTCTCTTCATTCTACCTGGCCGTTTGTCCCATTGTATTTTGCTCTGCTTTATTTTAGACTGGTGGCTTCCATCAGGACGTCCATCGCCAAAGTCACTTGGAACCAATCATGCATCTTCTCTTTCGCCCCCTTGCCCATGCGTGTGTCCAGGTTTGATGCATCCAACACAGAGCGCCTCTTCTCGCTCATGTCTGAGGAGGAGCAGCGGCAGTTTGACTTTGACCTGCGGGCCATTGACTGGCACTCGTACCTCTGTGACGTGCATCTACCAGGCCTGCGCAAGTATGTGCTCAAGGGCCGCGGCTCATCCAATCTCTCCTAATCACCACTGCCCTGGCTTGTCCCTAAATGCTGTGCTTTCATCACGCCACTGCCGGCCAAGTCATCACCAACAGAATCAGCTTGCTGTATTCCCCGTTATATACCACAGCTTGTGTTACCAGGCATAAATTACCAGGCCCTTAAACACCAGGCTGCTTTTAGTATATGGCCCTTTCGCTTGAGAAGCACAAAAGTACCGTAATCCCCCGGATATAACACCCCGGGCATTGTCAAAGAAGCTAGGTTGCTAGGTAGGTAGGTAGATAAGCCATGGAAATGGCGTGAGGGTTTAGGTGGGAGAAATTGACGAGAGAGGAGGAATGGACGAGAAGAGGAGATACCAAGGGGGTTGTCCCCTCTACAGTAGGATTCAGTAAGTAGCACAACTACCAAGTTTACACAAAGATATACTTAAATATATACTTTGACACACCCCCTAGCAGGCCCCCGGAAGTCAGGAAATTTGTCCTGATTCAGGAAAAAAACAGGGAGTTTCTCGGTACTTACCCTGATCGCGCAGGGTTTTGTACATGACACACCCTGTTTTTTCAGGCTTTCTGTAAGGGTAAACTCTGATCGCTCAGCAAGGCTTCTTAGCGAATCCTGAATTTCTCAGCATTGTAGCGGGTCTTAGTCCTTTCCAAAAGCGTGTCTAAGGGGGGCAGTCAAGAATTTCGAGGTTCTCCCTGTTAACGTAGAAACGAATGATTACTAGAGGTGGAAACCTAGAACAAATACTAGTTGGTTGTACTCACTAGAAGCATACCTCAGTCTAGCCTATAACTTCTACATAGATAATATGTATAAGTTGACACACCCCCTAGGCTAGACAAGGGGTGAAACTAAACAAGAAGCAAACAGCTCAGGGCGGCACTACTAGTCCAACCACTGAGGCAGGGGTCTGGAGACCAGTCAGCAAGAATACAACCAAAACTAAAGCAAGCCAGGGTGGCACTACTAGTCCAGCCACTGGAGGTAAGGCCACAAGGTCAGTCTGACAAGCATATATAATAGAGAGTACACAATCAGGATCCTAACAGGGGAGCAGCTATAGGAACAAGACCAAGCTGTACACAGTGCCGCTGATGATCTTTAGGCGCAAGCGCCTTAGTAAAGATATCAGCTGTGTTGGCACCTGAGGCCAAGTGAACTACGCGGGCCTGGCGGCGCTGCTGTAGCTCGCGCAGGAGGAAGTACCGCAGCTGGATATGCTTCGCTCTGCCCTCAAGCCGAGGCTCCTGACACAGGAGTATCATGGCCCTGTTGTCAGCGTACAGGACCGGGGCAGAGCTAGGCCGCTCACCTAAGTCTGTGAGCAAGAAGGTCAGCCAGCGGAGCTCCTGTGCCGCCATGGCACCAGCGTAGATCTCAGCCTCACAGCTAGACTGAGCCACAGACGACGAGCGAGTGGATCTCCAAGAGATAGCACCCGAACCAAGGCTAAAACAGTAGCCCTGCGACGACCTGAGCGTCTCAGCGTCGTCTGCCCAAGAAGCGTCTGTGTGCCCAGTAAGGACCACTGGCCTGCGTCCTCCTAGCACTAACCCCATGCCTGATGTACTAGCAAGATAACGCAAAACCCTCTTAGCGGCAGACCAGTGCTGAGGTCGGTGTCTGCCTGTAGCCACAAAGCGAGCCAGGATGCTGAGAGGGTATGCGAGATCTGGGCGAGTGCAAGTCATCAGATACATGAGGCAACCCACCAGCTCTGCGTAGGGGCCACTGGGCTCTACTGGCTCCTCAGGAACGGGAGCAGAGAGCCCATGGTCTACGGGTAGAGGTGTGGGCTGTGCGGAGGAGAACTGAAGACCGAACCTCTGAAGGACCTGACGCACCAAGTGTGACTGGGTCAGAGTGATGGTGCGTGCTGCTCTGTCCCTAGAGATCTGCAGGCCAAGATAGCGACGCAGCTCTCCAAGGTCAGTGCAGGTGTGTCTCTTCAGCAGCTCAGCCTTCACAGAGGCCAGTGCGTCCCTGTCAGGAGTAGCGAAGACCAGGTCGTCTACGTAGACAAGGATGTAGAACGGAGTCTGGCCGGAACGCACAAACAGTGAAGGGTCAGCAGAGGACGGAAAGAACTGCAGGTCTGCTAACGTGGCACGTAGCGTGTCGTGCCACTCGCGGGGAGCCTGACGCAGGCCGTAGACCGGGCGCCTGAGAAGCCATTGGGTCCCAGGAGGGAAGGTACCAGTGAAGCCCTGTGGTCGGCGCAGGTAGACCTGCTCGTGTAGGCTGCCCTGAAGAAAGGCAGTAGAGAAGTCGAGAGAGTGAAGCTCGTAGTCACGCTGTGCTGCTACGTGTAGCAGCGCCCGAAGAGTGGTCATCTTCGGGGTCGGGGCGAAGGTCTGGAAGAAGTCAACCCCCTCGCGCTGACTGAAACCTCTGGCCACGTAGCGCGCCTTGAAGACAGGCGGCTCTCCAGGGGGGCGCTTCACCTTGAAGAGCCACCGACCATCGACTACGTTCACCCCAGGCGGGGGAACTGCGTCGACGTAAGTGCCGGTGGATCTCCAAGATGCCATCTCCTGCTCCATGGCAGCTATCCACTGAGAGGCCCAAGGTCCCGAGGTGGCCTCAGCGTAGGTGCGAGGGGTCGGGATGTCGAAGGCGTCTGGGTCACCCTCAGGGACTAACAGCATGGAGCAGAGATGGGGAGCAGCCTCGGAAAGGAAAGCCAGCTCGTACTGCCTGTCCTCTAGGACGTCACTGCCAAGGGCAGGAGCACCCCCGACGGACAGAGGACGGGCAGGGTCAGAGACCAGAGCGGTAGCGTAGTCAAGGCGGCGGGTAGAAGCGAAGTCAGCGACAGCAGCGACAAGCGCGTCAAGGCGCGAGACAGGAACAGCAGGGTCGGTAACAAGAGAGGCAAGGACCCGAGGGACAAGGGGACGAGCAGCACGGAGGTAGTCAGAGAACGGAGGAGGTGCAACAGCAAGGGACGAGGGAGGAGGGGACGGGAGGAGGGGAGGACGAGACGAGTGGGAACGGAGCAACATAGGGTGGGTGGGCAGGACAGGAGAGACGGGACGAGCACGGGAGGGACGGCGAGCCCAAACGTGAGACGGAGGGGTAGGGTCAGGGGACAGCGGAGGAGACACAGGAGGGGAACGAGGAGGAAGACGGGCCGGAGACGAGTCTGGCGGCGGGAACACAGGACCGTAGACAGGAAGGTCAGGAGGCGGTGGGGGAGACACCGGCGCGCGGTCCGGGGAGGGAAGGCCGAGCAGGCGGAGAGCGGAAACCGGCGGCGACGGCTGCTGCGGCGGCGACGACGGCTGGGCCGGAACTCTCGGACCAGCAGAGGCAGAACGACCGTCGGCAGAACACTCAACAGCAGCACCCCCAGAACCAGCACCCCCAGAGCGAGAACCCCCTCCAACACCAGCGGCACCCCCAGAAGCCGCAGGACGAACACCCTCCTCCACACCAGCACCCCCAGGGGCCGAGAGCAGCGGCGGCGACGGCGACGGCGGCGGCAGCGGGGTCGGCGACTGCGACAGTGGGGGCGGAGGCACTGGGGAAGGGGGACGCGGCAAGGACGGACCGGGGGTACCACCAGAGTCAGCAGACTCCTCAACGGGGACAACCGACGGGAGGGGAGTGACGTGGGAGACACCAGACGGGGCAGGACGAGGCGGGAGAGGGGCAGGGGCTACCGGGGGAGAGGGAGCAAGGAAAAGGGGGGGGGCAACTGGGAGACCTCGGTGAGGGAAGCGGCGGTAGAAGGAGACGGACTCGTCAAAGGTGACGTCACGAGAGTGGAGGAAGCGGTGAGACGGCGGGTGGTAGAAAAGCCAGTCAGACGAGTCCAGGGGGAAACCGAGGAAGACACAGGGGACAGTGCGGGCAGTGAGCTTGTCCGTGCCAGAGGCACGAACGTGAGCAAGGCAGCCCCAGACGTGGAACGCAGACGCGTCACCGGGGGACCCGGTCCAAAGGAGGGTCGGCGAAACCTGCGGCCGCTGGGAGCGTGGCCACAGGTTAAGCTGGTGAGCCGCGTAGCGAACAGCGAACGGCCACAGAAAATGGGGGGCATCGGCATGGATCATGGAGGTACGGGCGACCTCCATGACCAAACCGATGCGGCGCTCAGCAACCCCATTCTGCTGTGGCGAGTCCGGCAACGTGTACGACTGGGTGATGCCCTCCGCACGACAGAACTGTCCAAGCCGACCAGAGGCGAACTCGCCGCCACGGTCGGAGTGGAGACACAACACGGGGAGACCGCGGTGGAGACGCGCAGCTACAACCCACGGGAGAAGAACGTCGGGCACGTCGGCCTTCCGCTCCAGGGGAAACACCGTGGTGTAGCGCGTGTAGTCGTCAACGAGCACAAGGAAGTAGCGCTCACCGCGCGGTCCGGGGACGGGGGCAGGGCCCCAAACGTCCAAGTGCAGGGTCTGAAGGGGGGCAGTAGCAGGACGCAGCGAGGAGGAGTGAGGAGCACGGCGGAGCCGACCCTCGACGCAAGGCGTGCACGGTGGCGCAGTCGAGGGAGGAAGGGCAGGGAGCGACGCGGGGAGACCTAAGACAAGACCGTGCTGGGACATGTGACGCAGACGCGGGAGAGCAGGGTGACCTAAGCGGTGGTGCCAGAGAAGGGAGGGGTGAGTGAGGGACCGACACGAGCAAGCTGCAGCGACCTGGGAGGACGCACCAACCGGGGGGGAAGCGGTGTGTAGGGTAAACAGACCGGACACCGGGTCCCGGGGGAACGTCGCAAGGGGGGAACCTGAGACAGCCTCAGAACAGACAGCGAACCGCTCGTGCCCGGGGAACGTGGTGGTGACGCCGAGGTCCTGGAGACAGCCGACACCAACCAGGTTCCTGGAGAACGAGGGAACGTGGAGGCCAGTAAGGGAGTCCGAGGGAACTGCCGGACAAGGAAGGGACGTAGAACTGCGCGCGACGACCGGACCCGCAGAGGGGTCAGCGAGAGAGACAACAGCAGGTGCAGCAAGCGGCGTGAGCGTGGAACGGTCGCGGAAGAAGCAGGCAGAAGCACCAGAGTCGAGAGTGAAGGACAGCGACGCAGTGGCGGAGGCCGCGGACGGAGCCGGTGCAGCGACTAGACTAGGCAACCTAGGCAGTCCTACGCCTGTCGCAGCAGGGGAAGCTAAGCTACACAAGGGTGAAACACCTAAACTAGAGTACACAGGGTAGTAAGATCCAGCAACACTAGAAGCGTCAGCATACAAAGCATGCAAAGCTGCACCTATCTGATCCATGTCTAACTCAAAGATCGGCACGCCCTGGCGGAGTAGGCTGTGCCAGTCAGGGAGGTCCGGGGCCGGGCCAAAGCGACGACGAAAAAGATCGTCGAGGCGGCGGAAACAGCGGGCGGTCGGGTGCGGGCGGCGGCACAGAGT